CCCCCCACCGCACTTCCCTCCCCCCCCTTCCACTCGTCCTCAGCCCCCCCACCTCACTTCCGTCCTCCCCTTCCACTTCCGTCCTCCCCTTCCACTCGTCCTCAGTCCCCCCACCGCACTTCCACTGTAAGTCACAGAACCCAATGATACTTCAACGCTTTCTTCTGGACCACTGTCTTAGCAGTATTTTACACGGTTGCTCATTTTTGTTTAAATACTCTTTGTCTCTCGGCTTTAATGACAAAACCCTGTCCTGGCTTTCCCGCTCCCTCTCTGGCTGCTGCTTCCCTCCTTTTATGGCCTGCCGTCCCTGAGGCGGTGCACTGGATGCTGGGTCTCTCAGAGGGTGGTCCTGGTGCCCTTTCCTCTTCCCACTCCACACTCTCACTTTGTACAATCTGTCCGCACCCAAGGCTTAATTATCACCGGTAAGTTATGACTCACAAAATTTTACCTTTCAGACCTCTTCAACCAATTGCTTACCTCATATCTCCCCTTTGATTTCTCAAAGGCACCTCAAATTCAACGTGACCCAAACTAGAATCATATTTTCCTGCCAAGTCAGATTCTCCACACGTCAGTCACAGGCATCTCAGCGAACGCTATGGCCATCCACCCAGACAGGAGGGAACACAGAACCACAGTCGACATTCCTTTGTCTGCCCACGCTCCTTCACTTAGCTACCATCTCACCATATCCTGTTGATTTTAAATCCTAAATTCTAAGCACTTCTAGACTTTGTCTACTTCTCTCCACCTACAGAAAACTAATAAAAGCTACCACCATTTCTTGTTCAATTGCAATGGCCTCTTAAATGGTTTGCTAGGATCTATTTTGCCCACATTGCAACCAGAAGGATCTTTTGTACTATAGTTGGTCCTCTGTACCCATGGATTCTGCATCTGTTGATTCGACCAACTGCAGATCAAAAATATTCAGAAAAAAAAAATTGCGTCTGCAGTGAAAACGTACAAACTTTTTTCCTTGTCATTATTCCCTAAACAATAAAATATAACAACTATTTACCTAGCATTTACACTGTATGAAGTACCATATGTAACCCAGAGGTGATTTACAGTACACGGGAGGACGTAAGGAGATTACATGCAAATATTATGCCATTTTATAATCATTGACTTGAGCATCCATAGATTTTGGTATCTGCAGGGGGTCCTGGAACAAATACCGAGGGACAACTGTATATAAATCTGACCTGTTATCCCCTTACCTAAACCCTGCATAGTTTCCCACTGCTCTTGGCTAACCTCCAAACTCCTTGATGTAGTATTCAAAACCCCGCCAGGTCTAGCTGCTGCCCTGCACTCCAGACTCATCGCATGCCACGCTCCCTTCGGCTCAGTGGACCTGAATCTCACAGGACGTTCTCCAGTCTCTCCTGCTTGCCATGGTTCCTCTCACATAACTGTCTTTGTATATGGTATTCCCTCCACCTAGGACATCTTTCTAGTATCAACTTGGAAGACAAGGGTGACAGGGAAGCAGACTACAATGATTTTCAACAGTGTGAAGGACGGCAATATGTAAAAGGAAATCGAGGCATAAATGGTCCCT